AATACTAAAATCTGTTCTTCAAAGAGTGTCAAAATTCGCCTCTTACAATCGACATACACAGATTTGTAACATCGAATGCCCGCCCCTTATTCCAATATGAAATTCATACAATACATTCGGTTCGTTAAAATACAAGTACGTATTGGAAATGTAGTGGTGATACCTTGATTGTTGGTAGAAGCCAATGTTGGAGTAAGATACTCCGATCATAGAAATCTCCTAAGGGTTTTCTGAAATACTTCACATGAGCATCTATGGAAAAAGCAAGAGCTGTACACACAGTAAGCCCTTTGCAGAGAACAATCTCCACACCCTAATTCAACTCAGCCTCTAGCGTCGAGAATTGCTTCATTGAAGACCCATTTCAATGACGACGAAAACCCAAAGCTCGGGCACACTCCACAACAACAACAACGGACCAAACAAAATCTTTATGGCAAGAATAGAATTTACCAAGGAAGCAGCCACCAGCAACTGTCAAAGTTGATATGAAAGAGTGAATCAACTGGCATTTACTGGCCGTTTTCCGAAGGGAGGAAAGGAGAGACGATCCGACGCACGAGCTTGAAACTAAAGCGTGGTGAGCAAATTCACCAACGATCATCGCAATTGTAGTTCGAAAACACAAACAAGAGAATCTCCGAAACCGCCTCTCAAGCACGAACGAAGACGCCCAGAAACATCTTTCAAAAGAGAGACCTACATAACAGAATTGCGAGAGATAAGGCGCAGGGTCGGCATAACTAATCAAAATTCAGCCCCTCGAGGTTCGAAAAACGACGAGCGGCAAGGCTGCGGGCTTTGCCCTAACCCTAAAACCCATGAATTTTGTCGCCGTCTTGAAATCTATCATAAGGGTACTTATAAAAATCTTTGCCCTGGTAAAAATAACAAAATCTCAGCGAATGGTGAGTTTAGTCTCATCTCTGTGAAGATGGGGATTCTAGAATACAGTTTTGGGAGTATTTTGTGGTGTCCAAAGCATCAGCTGAAATTAGTCATGGTGGTATGCATTGAAAGTATTGAGTTTGTGTATGAGTTTTCTTTTTTTCATATTGAGAAAAACATAACTTTCTAGAATATGATAGGAATATTTTATTTGCAAAAGGAGTTTCACATGATGTTTCGTGTCCTATTAGAGGCATAATGTTTTGCTAATTTTCATCACAAGCTTGGTAAGCTGTTTTTTTCTATACTGTATGTTGAAATTAAAAATATACTTTTTTTACAAACTGAAACATAATAATTCTCATATAAAGATGATTCAAATAAATGTTATTATGGCCATAAATATAATGTCACATCACATTTTATATTTAAAAAATTGTTTTATTTTTGGGTATTTTAATATCTTTTCATTGTATATTTTGAAACTTGATAGTATCATTTACCATTTAAAGAATGGGTATACATGTTTTTTATAATGAATTTATAGTTTTGGTTCATGTGTATCTTAGTTGATATATCTAGTAAGATTGAATGGAACTTTAGAAAAATCCAGTTAAAATTGGACCTGAAATTACTCTAATAGTTTGCAAAATGTAATGTATTAATTAAAGGCCATAGCCAATCAATCTTAATATCTATTTCAGAATCACTTTTATCGTTAGAAATGTCTTTTAAACCCTCATTAAAACAAGATGAAAAAAACTTGCTTTGCAAAAATAAATTAGGTTAGATTTATGCTTAAATTCATACTTGTAGAAAACAACTGATGTACTTTCTAAACAATATAGTAGTCATGTATGTTTAATGTGGCTCATCTAATACCAAAGTATACAATAACTTTGAAATAATTTTGACTTGCACTTTGTTTAGTGTAATAAAATACAACAACTTGGTTAAACCATCGGTTTTATTGATTTTGGTCGTAAAGTTGTTTATAAGGCTCAATAAAATGTTCTACAACAAATATATATCTTGCTTGTTTCTAATAATATGTTACCATTGTTGAGTGTTCAACACATGATATTATTGAGTGTGCAACAATAAAGAGAAATATTCTGAAAGCATTAACAAAAATAAACCATTGCATTCATATGAAAAATACACATAAAATCTGATTTGACAAAAAGTGATATCTTCATTTATTGATTCAACATTTGTTATATTTCAAAAACAATTAGACAAGCTTTGGGCATACTACTTGAGTGGTGTTAAGCATACATCAGTATATACTGTTTGTCCAAGACTTTATTTAATGTTGTTGCATATACTCAGCAATATGTGTATAGATAGATTGCTATTTTCTTTGGAGTTAAAATTTATGAATAGTAACAAGATATTTTTTTAATAAACCATATTTTCTAATGTATTATTTTACAAGACTCAATTAAAGATGAGCATTAATTATGAACAATATAAACAACCAAATGATTTTTGTGATACTTAAAAACTTAAAAGGTACAACATTATTAGTTATTAAAGGTTTTGAAAATTATGTTTTAACAAAAATTAACTCTTTGCATAATACATATTAAAGTACATGCATAAATTTGCAATATATATATATATATGTATATATTTCAAAACACCTTCAGTTAAATATTAATTATTGATAAAAATAATCTTTAGAATCTTGAAAGTCTTAAAATATATATAGGGTGCTGTTTTGTAAAATCTGTTAACAACCTACATGTCTGTAAACATGCAAAATATGATAAAAGCATTTAAGATAAATTTTGGAAATAACTCAATACATTTTTAAATATATTTTATATTTCAAGATGAATATATATATACAAAAAATATTTTCCAAACATCTTATTTTGCAATTAATGACTTTAATTCTTTTTGTTTTTGCTGTCGATATTATGCTTGATATCATATAATATAAACCATATCAAGCGTTCTGGTATCTGATTAATTACAATTAAATGGATACATCAGCGTCAGTCATATCATGAATCAAAAAATAAGTTCTATGTTTTTGTGACCCTAAAGAGTTCCGGTAAACTCGTGCTAAAGATCAAATCTGGAATCTTAAGTACACCTCTCCACGTACAGATGTGTACACTGGTTCGTATTCATACGTCTCTTCACTTTTGCCAAAAAAATACTCTATCAACTGTATCAATGAACAATGTTTTTCATTATTTAAATCTATTAAGCACATTTAATTGCGTTTTTAACTATATCTAGAAGCTTTCATTACACCCTAATAAATTTAATGACATCATGAATTTTCTCATTAAAATTTATCCATGCAATCACAAGTTATAATTGCATTATTTTCGGTGATAATGACTGGAATTATCACTCATTGAATACGTCATCCAACGAAACGTGAGTTCATCTTCGAATCTGTTCGTCCATACGACCGTTCTGCCGTCTGTCCATCCGTTCTCCGTCCGGATTATGTCCTTTCGTTCATCCGTGCAGGATTTCGTTCATTTTTTCGTTCGTCCGCTCGTCCGGAAGTCGTGAAGGTTGGTGGTCAGAAATTGACGCAAGAATGGAAGTCCAGCTGAGGAAGGAGAACGACAGCATTGAGACTCGGAGTCCGTCCGTAAACGCGTTGCGTGTTGGGCCATTCTCGTCCAGGACTTTGCCTATTGAAGCCATTCGTCTTCTCGCTGTGGGACAAAATGGGACGGCTTTAGGATAGGGCACGGCCATGGATGGTCAACTTTGCCAGCTAAGCCCCAATTCTCCCACCTTTCTTCTCTCTTCGCATTTTCTACATTCGAAATTTTAGATTCTTTCCTTTGAGGAGTTTCTCCGAGACTTCTTCATTTTTTTGAAAAGATTTTTGTGTATTTTTAGAAGCTTTTAATTTATTCTTTTGGGTTGAGGTGAGAAATTGAGTAATATTAACAGATTATTCTTTGATAGAAAACAAGTTTATTCACACCTCTTGTATTGTGAGTAAATTCCTTGAAAGTTACACATGCATTGTATTGGTTGAGAATGACATCATGTTGTAATTTTGTAAATTTTCTGTATTAAAACTTGTGAATTTTCAGACAGATGTAATTTTTATCTCTACATGACACAGACCAGTGGTCTATTTGGGTTTACAAACCCATCACACAGTCTGTATATAGATTTTGTTGTATATGGGAAAACACGTGTTTGTGTGTGTTTATGTTTTTAAGCACATGTGCACATGCTTGCAAAAAGTTCACCTTTTGACCATCCGAAAAGGTGGTTGCATTAGCACAACCACAATAGATGATTTCTTGTTTCAGCAATGGAATTTGAACAACCCCTTACTTCAAATTGTTTAGTAAAATCCAAAACTACATATAAAATAATAATAATGATAAAATTATACAATCATGGGTTTCTCAATTGAAACAATTCAAAGCTCCTATGACACAATGTTCAGGGGGTAAGATGGTCAAAGCACCCATGGAAACAGTCAAACAAATGAAAAATTCAAAAGCATGAAGGATAGGTCTCTACAAAGTTCAAATGGAGATGCATTTGAATGAACTAGGCAATACCCTTTTTACAAGTGCACTACGAAACTTGTAAAGTATAGCTGCAATCAACCGAAGCCAAGTATTCAGATTCCAAACTAATAATAGTAAAAATAATAATCATAAATATAATAAAAAATCGAAAACTGGTGGTGTGAACGGAGTCATACGGGGCACTGTGGGCGGAGAGCGCGGTAATAAGAGGATACCGCGGTAGTAGGGAGACCGCGGCCACTGATGATGACTTCGTCTCTACATGTAAAAGCCCGAGCAGACGCCACATGCGTCACACATGCATACGATGGCAAGAGCTCTGCCATCCCCGGACGGGTTGTCGGACACAACCCAGCCCAGCCCGGCCAAGTTCGACCGGGCGGGGTCGAGTCCAGCCAGGGCCCAGATGCACCGACCCACCCACTCATCCACCCACCCAAGCACTGACCCGGCCCGTTGTGGGCAAAAGCCCTAGCGTGCTACAGTCAAAGTTGGTCAGCCGGGCGGGGGTGGAGGGGGGCAGCGGGGAGGAAGAAATAAATAAATCGAAGACTTAATTTTGAAATCCAGTTATCGGGTAGTGAATCGCGAGAGCTAGTTGGTTCGGCGGTCCGGTTGGGCAGAGTTGGGAAAAAGAAGATTAGAGGATCTACGCGTTTTCGCTCTGACTGCGCCACCCGACATCGCCGCCCCTGCCTCCGTCCTCGCCGCGCCGCTCTTGGGTATCCCTCGCTCCCTTGATTCCTCGCTCGCTCGTGATCCCTCGATCCCTTGATTCCTCGCTCGCTCTTGATCCCTCGATCCCTTCCTCCCCGGCCTTGCATCACCCCGCCTCCACTCTCCGTTTCGGTCTTTTTGTTTTTGGCCTCGCCGGTGATTCTCCCGCTCTCGGCCAACTTCGCATGTCTGTCTGAGCTGGACGTCGTCTCTGCGTTAGGTGTGAAATTGAACCGTGTCGAGTTCGATTAGCTGGCGTCGGAGTGTGCAGTGGGGCACACTGCTGAATTGAGGTTGGTCAGGCAGTTTCAGGCTTTGTTAACTCCGATATGTGAGTTGGTTTGTTAGTGTGTGCGTAATTTGGAGTGTGGTTTGAGGGGAATTTTGCACATTGTGGGTTAGTGTAGCCCAGAGAGTGTGGAATCGGGAGGTGTTGTTGAGTTGCGGAGTGGAATTCGGTAGCGTGACTGGGTTTTTTGAGTTTGTTGAGGTGAATTGGGGTGGCAGAGCAGCTGGGAGTGACTAAATTCTCAGTCGGGGTTTCCAGATCTGGTCGTGTTTTCGGGTTGGACCAGTTTTTAGAGCGAGAGTTTGACCCTCGAGAGGGGTGAGATCTAGTCTTGTAGAGAGCGGCGGGAGTGTGGGCACTCTTTAAGGATCAATTGTGGCTCTGTAGCCGTTGTGGAGCTCCAACCTTACTACGATCTTTTGCTCTGTTGAAACAATTCCAGTTGGAAAACCTCCGAGTCGTACAGTGCGCATAATTGTCTTGAAGAACCTTTCGCAGTGGCAATCAGTGTGTGTGCATCGACCATTTATGCCTCTGGCGATCTGGGTGTTGCATCTCGGAAGCTGGCTTCGTGTGCCAGGGGGGTGTCTAAGAGTCGCGAAAGGCGGCTTGCAATTTGATCTTCAAAGGGGTAATTGTGGAGGTCCCAAGTCAATGCTGGCCCTTGTGCTGGAAGGGTGCAATTGGCGGGCGGCAAATAGAGACACCTACTTGCGTTAGATAGTGTTTCAGATCTCGGCATTAGAAACTTGTGAAGCAATCAGAAGAGCCAGTGCTTGCTTTTTGAGCATTACCGACATTTTCGGAGATTTTAAGTGGTGGTTTAGAGTAGAAGATCCACTGTCACAAAGGTGTTTGGCAATTGGGTCGAATCCTGATCTGCAGAGTTGTAGCTGTAATTTCCTGTAGAAGGAAGCTCAGAGCTGGAATGCATCTTTGCGGTTCGCTTTTGATACATGAAGGTTCTCTCGGGAGTCAAGTGCGTAATTGGTAGTGTAGTCGGGATTGATGTCTGAATTTCGGCTATCAGCGCCTTCATCAAACAGTAGCCTGACCAGACATCGCACATGAATACCGTATTACATCTGGTGGTCAATTCGAATCTGGAACCTTGAGCCATCTCGGACTAGCTTTTGTAGATCGTGAGAAGGTTTGAGCATTGATTTTCAGTCATGGTGGGTTACGACTTGTCCACACTGCCCCAAAAGCCAGCTTGGTTGGAGTCTCTCTTGGGCGAAAAGTTCTTCGTTCCATGCGCTAAGCACGGCGCGTTGAAAAAGAACGAGCGAAATGTGTTCTGCGTGGACTGCAATGCGGGCGTGTGTCAGCATTGCGTCCCTGCTCACCAGAGTCATTGCATTCTGCAGATTAGGCGTTATGTATACCACGATGTAATCCGACTGCAAGACATCCAGCGTCTGCTGGACTGCTCCTCTGTTCAGACCTACATAATCAACAGCGCGCGAGTGGTGTTTCTGAACCAGAGACCACAGCCGCGGCCCTCCAAGGGAATGGGCAACGCTTGTGGAACCTGCGATAGAAGTCTGCAAGATTTGTATGCGTATTGTTCGGTGGCATGCAAGGTGGACGCCGTGATCAGCAGTGGGGGGGAACTGTCGAGCCTTCTGCCGGGTGATGGCAGCAAGCCGTACTCGTTCTTCACTTGCTCTCCATCTCGGACTTCGAAGCACGAACTTGAGGGTGAGCTTCTCACGGATTCCCCGTTCGATGTGTCTCCGACACACACATCTTCAGCTTCAACAGGCAGCGAGGGAGCGGGTTTTGGTGGAGTGGTATCAACGGCTTCGACTCTTCTGTTGCCCAAGAAAGTGCGGAGTGGGCGTGTTTCGGTGATGGCCACGTCGCCAAAGTCTGTAATATTTCCAGTGTCTGTGAGGAGAAGGAAAGGGACTCCTCACAGATCTCCATTTTGCTAGGAAGATGCTCTTTTAGAGAGCTTGGTTGGATTCTTCGTCCTCCATCCCACACATTTTTTTTGGGTATCGCTTAGTCGCTTACCTTGTAGTTGTTATTGGCTTCCCCCTTCCTGGGGAGAGTTTCATCGACAAAAGCTTCACGTCGTGTCTTACGACTTATTGGAGTAGCTGAAGCGGACTGTTTTCCTTAGTCCGGTCGAGGGTTAGTCTTACACTGTGGTTGGAAGGAACGGTTCAATTCTTTTATGACTGCTAGCTCGGAAATATACCTTAACAGTTTACGAACTTTTGGAGACATACGGGGAGACGAGGCAATCAGACGCCTCGATAACCCAACTCAGCCTGATTTGAAAGGTCTATAATTGTGGTGTTTTGGTTTAAGTTTTTTTTCTTTAATTCTTCCGTGTGCGTTAGGCACCTATAGTAGTAGGTCGGACGTCCCTTGACAGGACTTGCTCGAGAAGATAAGCCGATGGCCAGAGTTTGGGCTTGAATGGAGTAGAACTCCGATTTGAAAAGAGAGGACTACAGTCAGGAGGGGACGTGACATTAGTTGTTGGTCTGTAATTACAGACAACGCACAGAGAAATTTGTTCATGTAGGAGTAGCGTCAAGCAGATCTTGCTTGTTGTAGTTCTATTTGTTTCGAGAATTGGAATTTGCATGCTAGCAGACATGCTAATTGGTCGTGCTGATCTTTAATTTGAGTGCCAGTTTGCTGTTCAATGCATGAATCTATTCTCTCTGTTTTACGAGAAGATTTTGTTGTTCCGAAGCATTGTTCTAGTTACAGACATTTTTTTTCCTACGGAGAATTGTCCGCTGAGTGCGTGAGCTGCTCCTCAAAGTGCACATAGCAGTGTTTTTCTGAAGTTACTTCACTCTCGTGCGTATCCGATGTTTGTTCAAGTCGCCGATGCTCTATTGTTCAACTCAAGATGCCGACCCAAGCTTAAGCTTGAGTTCAGGATTTTGGTGCCTATGGTGTTTCTCCCAGGGAGATCCTTCTTTCCTGGGTCTAAACTGAACTTTGTGTGGCACTTTACATTGTTTTTGGTTCCTTCATGTTTTAACCAGTTTACATGGGCTATTGCGCACGCAGCCTAGGATCAAGGTCTTTACTAGCCCCTAGCTTTAGTGAAGTTGGGTTTGCGAAAGCGCAAAACTTGGGACTCGTTGCTTAGTTTTTTCAGAAAGTATAGAAGCTCTTGTTGCGCCATATTTGTCCCGTGTTCTTTTTGTTGTGTTCACTTTGGTTAATGCTGTGATGATTTTTTATTTGCTGTTGTCAGATGTTACTGTTGGCCATAAACCTTGGAACCGAATCTATATTTTCAAATTGGTTTAAATTCAATTTTTATTACTTGGGTGTGCAGGCATTTGTTTGTGTACGAGAAGTTGGGACTAAATTACTTATCCTCTGTTGGGCAGGTTTTGGAGATTCTCATCATCGTTCACGACTCTCGTAGAGTCGAAAAACTCATCGCAATTTTTGGATTCCTTCACTCTTGGATAACTTGTCTCCGTCTTTTGAAGTTTGTTTCAGTACTAGCTCATGGTCCTGCTAGTCTTCATATAGGCACTTATTTCCAGCACTCTGATAGTGGGTTCTCTTCATTATTGACAATCCTTTAGCTCCCCTGTCCATTTAAGGTTCCTTCACCACAGTGTGCACTGTCAAAGGTCGTCCTGTGCACAGTAAGAATCGTCAACACCGAGTTCTGAGGAAGTCTAGCAAGCACTTGTCGATGTGAACTGCACCGACAAGGGGTCTCTAGTATTTTCTTCTTGGGTTAAAAGAAAAAGAAAAAGAAAACAGAAGATAATCGTCGGCCTCATTCTACAGCTCGAATATCGTACCTTCGGGTGCTACAATTGGAGAAAGCTTTCGAAGAGATTCAAAGGGGAAATTCGGTTCATCCCTGTTGGAATCCTCCGCAAAAACCGGAGTTCCGAGCTTTGTTTACTCCAGAAAATACAGGGGCTCACTGGTTGGATTTTGTGCGATTGCAGGAACAGCTTCGGTGTATTCCTGGCATCAAACTGGAAAGTCTGCAGAATATGCTGAATGCCTCCCTCTACAAGGCAATGGACGTTTTCCTATCTTTATATCACAACCCCAAAATACTGAACGGCCTTCTCATCAATTCTCAAAAACAACACAATTCTCTACGTTTCTATTGTTCACGTTTTCCATTGCAAGACTCAAATCTAAAACCATTCACAATTCTCAACGAAAAGACGACCACGAGTCAAATGACCGTCATTCCACACTTGGATTGTAACATACCAAGCACGAAAGCCTGAATCCGCAGCAGGAAACCTAAATGGCCACCCTAAACTCAAATTACATGCTCTGCACATCAATGAATCTACGTCACAACATGAAGACTCTTCCAATTGAATGGGGACATTCGCCGATTCTGAGAGTTCTTGATTCCAACAGCATTTGATCCTCGTCCAAGTCTCCGAAAGCGGCTAAAGCTTCTGACGATGTTTGGTGGGTGTGCATGTCGACCAGACAAGCACACGGCACGGAAACCCTAAAAGTGCTGACTTGCTGCGGTGTGAACACGTGCCTTTTCTCAACACCTTAAGTACTTAGGACTAGGGAAAATGAAGGAAAGTTATTTGTGAGGGTGCAAGGGAGTTTTGGTGAGTTGGGGGTTTGGAGTTGTCCTTTGCGAAGTGTTTACAAGAGTCATGAGCCAAAGTTTTTGAGGATGGATGAAAAAATAACTTAGGCTTTGCTATAAAAGTGCAATTTAGCTTTCGGGGAATGTTAAATAGACCCATGCTTTTACTAAATTGACCCACCCTTGAGGATATGAAGAATATAGTAATCATGATAAATGTGGTTGGTTTTCATTGGTTGCAGATCTAATAGTGGAGAAATGAATCTAGAAGTCCTTTATTTTTTTCATGATGGTTAGGTTGATTTAATAAAAAATTGGGTTTATTTAACATTCTCCTAATTTTATGGTGGGGATTGGATATTTCTTGGAAATGCTCATAAAATGTTGATTTTTTTACAATGTTACATTGTTTCAACAATATTTACAATATTTCTTCTCAATTTTTATTTGGAATAATATATATATATATATATATATAGAATTACCCAGCAAACATTAGAAGGTTATCTTATTTTGAATTATTTTTACAATTGGTATGATATTTTGTTTATGTTATTACAAATAGCATGGTATATTCATACAAAATTCACGTTTTGAATTGTTGTTTATTTTGTAAGATTTACCCTGATTTGAATTTAATGTATTATTATCATAGTTTTTATTTACTATTGAATTATGTATTAAAAAATTAAATGTTAACATTGAACACATGAACTTATTACTTCTTCGGCTATTGCTATGTAGACTATGTTATTTACTTAGAGATTTTTTTCATACATATAGACTAAATTTCTTTCTATATACAAAATATTCAGTCTTAGATTATAAATTATACATTGATTCAGATACTTTCAAACTTTTTGAAAAAAATATATTTTGACTCTAGTAATCCATAAAGCTAACATAATTATATTGTAAGAGATCAAATAATGTCATTTGTGAAATCATTTGCAATAGCTTTGACATTATTGGTTGTTAATTTAATTAAATTGAACTTAATTAACAAATTGATGAAACTAAAATAAGGTCTCTCAAATTTACCAATCAGTGATTCTTAAGATTTTAGCTGCTTGAAAATTATATCACAGATGCAAATACTTAATCTTATTTAAATGCTTTTACACCAAACTCAATCATACATATATTCTACTTTTTATGCATAAAAAATATATTTTTATTGCTTTTTGAATAAGAATATAGTGGGCATATAAAAAGTAATGAATGTTGCAGAATTATTAACTTAAATAAAAATATGAGTAAAATTTCAGCGTAGAACCTTAGTTTGACTAAAAATTCAAATTGTTATGTATGTATGTATGTATCTATATATATATATATATATATAATGTTACACATATGCATAGAATTTATTGTGAAATTTCAATGCATCCAGTAAATACTACTCGTACGTTTTTATTTTTATGATTTATTTTACTGTACTGAAACATGATTTGATTCTCAAAACTAAAAAAACCTTATCACGTTTCTACACTCAAATAATATTTGTAGCTCAACCTCTGTCAAAAAAAGTATGAGGAATTTCTAATTAAAACCTCCTGATTAGCATCTAGAAAACAATACATAGACACACAGCACTGCTTCAACAATGCTAGCGATTAGAATAAACTTAAAATTATTTCAATATCTTCACCTCGATTTACTTTGTGCATGATTGTATCTCTTTCGTCATCGAAAATGATAACAATGTGGTCATTCCTCATCAAAATTTTAATCTTTCTTCAGTTATACAGAAAATGGTACAGTCTACCTTCATTTTATACAGGCTCATATGGGCTCTATACTGTAAAAACCATCATTTTTCTATATCGAAGTTGTGCTAAACAACAAGCGGCGCAAGCCTGAGCTCAAAAACGCCGAAGCACGACACAACAGTGCTACAGACTCACAGATTTCTATACTAAAACGATCAATCACCGAGTAGGCAAGCACCACCACAAATGAAGCTGACAACTGATCGCAATGGAAAATTTGGAGTCGTATGAGTGCCGCGGTTGACGATGTCGCCGTTGCACTGACTCGGAATACTGACAACTTGCAACTTTGAGATCAGAAAATTGGAGACGGCGTTGCGGTGTGCTGCTCACAAATGCCAGGCTCGTCGATCCGCCGGCGCGATGCGCGAAGAGGTGGATATGTAGGCAAGAGCCTGGCGATGACCCACACCCTAGATCTGGACCATGGGTTTTTGAAGAATGCGGCACAGGAGTTTCTGCAGGGAGTAACTCATGCCGCTAAGACATGGCTGCATACTGTCGGAACCTAACTTGGTTCGATCGCTGCGATGGAAACTCACTGCCTGATTCTACTTTCATACTGAGGAACTGTATTGGAGTAGCCAGGATATCGGTGAAGATCAGGCTTTTCTGCAGCTGCCGTGGACTTGGTGTTGTAGGGTGTGTCTGCGGCGTTTGACAGCCGCTAGGTTTCGGAAACTAGAGGATTACCGCGCCAGTGAAATACTTAATCAACGTGAACTGAAATGCTGTGTCAAGGATGATGCAAACTTGATGAAACTGGCAACTACCGAATTGCTGAGGTGTTGAGGATCATTAATGCAATGGCAGCAGATACCCTATCTTCAGCTGAGATTGAGGTTGGTTGGCAAAATCTCGGCTTCGTCTTGAAATAGAAGTTGACCTTGAGTGGATGGGAACCTTTGGATGGGTGAAGCGCAGCTGCGCCGCAGTCTGGGATCTGGTGGTTGTAGTTCTAATGCGAGTTGATGCAGCGGTTTTCTTGAATTTATGGCGTTGAATCCGCCACGGCAAGGTCTTCTGTTTATAAACCTCTCTAAGCAAGCGCAAATCATCGTCTCATGCATTTTGGTTCAGTCCCCGACTACTTGTGAAATCGTGCTTCATCTCAAGCTCCACTGCTTCTTCTGCATACACTGCCTTACTGCCATGGCGAGTATCCAGCACGGGATGTCTGCGGCCTTGTCGATTGCTGCGATGGTGTTGTTGCTACTCTTTGGTACTTCTCTAATCCATGGTATTTTAGTTCATCTTGTGAGAATCGAGTCAATTATTTTCTTGTGATCTTGTGAACTTAACAGTAACTGAATTCGATGTCTGTGGGGGGGTTTTCAGCTGGGGCTGCTGATGCTACGGCTTGCCCAAAGGGATACAAGGATTGCGACAAGAATTACAAATCCAATAAGTGCGAGACCAATACCCTCTCAGATATCAACAACTGCGGCGACTGTGGAGCCAAGTGCCCAGTCTACCCATACGCCACATCCACATGCAGGGAAGGCAAGTGCGTATTCACTTGTAAGGCAGGGTGGAAGAACTGCAACAACAAGTGGAGCGATGGATGTGAGACAGATGTGGGCAAGGACATCAACAACTGCGGCGGATGCGGCACCAAATGCAACCTTAACGTACCCTGGGCGACGACTAAGTGCAACAATTGCAAGTGTGAGAACACCTGCAAGGCCGGGTGGAAAGATTGCAACAAGGACCTGAAGGACGGTTGCGAGGTCGATGTCGGCAAGGACGTGAACAACTGCGGCGCATGTGGGACGAAGTGCAAGACCGTGCCGAACGCTTCAACCAAGTGCAGCAACCACAAATGTATGTACACTTGCAACTTCGGGTGGAAGAATTGTAACAATGACTGGACTGATGGATGTGAGACGGAGGTTAGCAGGAACATCAACAACTGCGGCGGCTGTGGGAGCAAATGCAACAGCGTAGTGCCGTATACTTCCACGAAGTGCAGCAACCAGAAATGTGAGTATACCTGCAAGGCCGGGTGGAAGGATTGCAACGGAGACATGAAGGATGGCTGCGAGACTGATGTGGGCAAAGACCTGAACAACTGCGGCGGATGTGGCAAGAAATGCAATGACGTCCCGAATGCTTCCACGAAGTGCAGCAATTACAAATGCGAGTATACTTGCAATGACGGCTGGGCGAATTGTAACGGCGACTGGACCGATGGGTGTGAGATTGATGTTACCATGGACGTTGACAACTGCGGCAGCTGTGGGGCGAAGTGCAACAACGTTCCTTATTCTAATGCCACTTGCAGCGATCAGACCTGTGTATATACCTGCGAGGAGGGGTGGGGCAATTGCAATGACGATTGGGAGGATGGCTGTGAAGCTGACCTTGGGAATGACATCGACAACTGCGGTGCATGCTCAACCGTGTGCGAGAAACCCAAATTCTTTGGCGGTGAAGCTAAATGCTCGTAAGACGTCTCGTTCCTGAATTCGTGACTTGTTGGTTCAATATGTTGGAGCTGGTGGTGCTTCGACGTTCCGATCTGATATTAAGTGTTGGTTGTTTCTCGATGGCAGGGACGGCAGCTGCGACAAGAGATGGTGCATCAAGGGAATGAAGTTTAGTGACGAGAAGAAATGCTGTGTCGAGGATTGGTGGCCCTTTGGCCTTGGTCACGGCGACAAGTAGAGGTTCTCTCATCTCTCTTCAGTCCCCAAAAAAATGGCCCCACACAGCTGCAAAACTCCTCGTCCAATTGGCAGCAATACGAAATATTGCAGAAGTTCCTCCGAGGGTAGTGTGAGCACTTGGAGCTCACCGGAGTTCATGAGAATGATTCCCAAACGTTATTTATTGAATTAGTCCTCTTCGACATCGATGAAGTGAACGGACATTAATACTAGGAATATTAACCGTCCGTCTCAACGGATACTTCTAATGACTGATTTTGTTACATTCGCAACTGAGATTATTTATATTCAATTTGGGATTTCAAAACCTCATGTGTCAAGTTCTATGATCAGTGTGTGATGCTCTCAACGGCCTTGCATGCGGATGTGATTTGAACGAATATATTTTAGGTTCTGGGATGCTAAAACTTTGAGTCAGTTGATGAAGCAGAGTGAGATATTGGGCCACATAATATGGAAATATGATAGTTGTCTTGTTTTAGGGTTGGAAAGAGTAGTTTGACCCAACACTTCCAAGTGCTGAAGGTGATACTATTTCATATATATATATATATATATATATACACACACACACACACACATTTTAGTAATTACTATTTAACATATTTAATGTATTTGCACGAAGACTTTCCAATCGGTTGTTAAGAACTTAAGATGAGCACCCTTAGCTCCAAGCTTCGCAATGCATTCCATCAACTAGTTGTTTCCAACACAAAAAATGAGCCAAAGAAAACACGATGGATTATGGCTATTTTCTCCGCTCAGACTTCAATTTGGTCTAGTTCGATTAGTTTGAAGAAGGTTTTACACGACTACAAAGTGACAGTATATTCATTGCGGCACATCTCGATGTTTTCAGAAGAAGTGAGTCTTGAGCATCAGCACCTTCAGCAAAATCGAGAAGTCGTTTGGAAAACAAAATTATCGTGAACAACTTTGGCGAATTGACAGTACTGAACAAGCTCATCTCTCAAACAGTTGCCCGGAGAGTGCGTAGGCCCTTCCAGTATTTTGTGTCTAGAATCTGCTGCTACATACCATCAACCTGAAGAGTGGAAGTTCTGCCGTGAATCTGCAATGCAATTTGATGGTCCGAATTCTCCCTAGAGCCAAATTTTAACTATGTGCAATACAAGGTTATACTGAATGGAAATCCAATTTCAATTCACAAGCAGGAAAACTATGGACACTAAGCACGGTCACAAGAAACCATGATTATCCTGTCCGAGTTTATGGTAGTCACGACTACCCAGTTTTTGTGAGGTCAAAATCCGGGTAATCCCAATGCTCCCTTCTCATAGTGTGGATCATGAACTAAGGGCTGAAGCAGAGCACATTGAGAGCTCATAAGATAGCCCTTTACAAAGACCTCGCAAATAGTTCAATAAGGATTTCGATTTGTTTAATTATTTAACTTTTCCAGGATTAATCCCACATGATAACAGACCTAGAGAACACACAAATGCAATACGACCTACGCCTTAACATAATCGCTGTTGGTTGATTCCCAAATGACGGTGCCATCGCAGAGACAGAGCTTCTTGTAGTTCTCACCAACGCCAGCGCTTCTTGCTATGACTGCAGCACTAATACCTGATTTCGATTTATCAGTATCCCCATAAACTACCAGCGCGCGGCCAATTAAATCTCTAACCTGCAGGTTTTCTTTGGTTCCAGAATATTCCGCGTTACCTTCACTGTTCACTTCAAGAACCCCGAAGTCACCTGCTGGCTGTAGGCAACAAAAAGAAAAGAAAAGAAAAAACAAAAATAATTCAGCTCGTGTTACAGTTGGTAAATCAAAGTATCTGTCCACATATACACCAAATGCATGTTTAAAGGATTAACGTCTAGTTTGGCATTCTTACAATTGAAATGAGACTGATCGAAATGGAACAACTCGGAATGAACCAAGAAACGGAAGAGGACATGAATTCACTAACCCATACAAGTATTTCAGCCGATTGTAGAAACTCGAAAACCGACATAAATCAAACAAATAGCAAGCTTCCAACAGCTCTCAACATCCAAAAAAAATTCTAACTTACGGTGCCATCGGCGGCTGGTGTCTCCGTTACGCCGCAATAGATCCGACCGGTGCTGGCAGCACCACGTGTGAGATCTCCGTACTCGTTTATAGACCATCCAACGGTGCCTTGAGGAAGACCGCTGAAGGACGCTTCAACACGTAACAACTCCATGCTCACTTGCGCAAACCTGACGACTCCATGAATCTGGGGACCCTTGAACTCGGCCACTGCTGCTGAAAGAGTAAAGTCTGTACAACTCACACAGGAAGGTCGATCAGAATCATTCTTGCCACTCCATATCCATCTTAGTATAGAGCCACAAATTGGAGTCCTTTAAAATCTCCCAAACAGTCGCCCACTTTCCAAGCGACTCTTGACAAACCTTGTGACAATATTAGCAAAGCTGATACCAAAGTTTTATTTGAGATAAGGTAAGAGGCTCGCTCCAACAGACGTGCCCATCTTAAGGCTTTACATATTTAAGACCTCTCCGAATAAACAAAAACTTACCTCGTTTCCTAGAATCATAAAGGAAAGTTAAGAAAAGCAAACACGATCGAGGTTATAATTACGTGGCCCATAGGTGCATTGGAAAAGAGCCACAGGAAATCATATCTCGAGATGATTAAACCGATCAAAGTCAAAGCAATCGCAGTAAACATCGGAAAAACGCTTCCCACGAAAATTTTAAGAATAACAAAGGAATGATAACTGCGATCCTTCAGACACAGAATAAGTTTCATATCTCTTATCTACACAAATCAATGAGGGATGCATCACATAATTGTAACGTGCCATGTATCACCAGACAGATTAGACCGCGCAACAGCATTTGCTCCGTCAAACACCTATAGGCATCACAGGTGACCAACCACAAGATATTGAGGTCCTGCCTGACGTGAACTGCTACAAATGGAATGCAAAGAAAAAAAATACGCAGCCTCAGTTACTGAAGGAGAATCTCTCAGCGAAGCACCCTTCGCACATGAGGTGCTTCAGCCAGATAATAGATCGGGATCAGCGCAATCTAACCCTTCATCAAGCTCAAAGGTATCAAGAGATGAGATTCCTGAACTGAGTACATCAGCAAATGAAGAACGGTTTGAAAGTCAAAGAGAAGAAGGATCACAAATACAAGAGGATAATGAACAAGCCCGGTTCATTGTTTCTCTAACAAACATGCTGCCAAAATTCATTGCAACAATTCCTCCATGCTTTGTTGGAGCCCGAGATAAGAGAAAACTAGACACATGGCTGTTCAAAGTCGAACATTACCTTGACTTGATTCAAGTAAAGACAGAAAGGTTGAGAATTAACATTGCCACTACTCTATTTGATGGGTTTGCTGCTGATTGGTGGCACAATCGAACAAAACATGTCAAAGAAGGACGAGTATCTCCGGTTTTATCCTGGGAGCAGTTTGTACACATCATGGAGCAAACATTTGTTCCTGCTGAAGCTAGATTCACCATTCAAGAAAAGCTTGCAGTCCTGAAGCAGACTGGATCTGTTCCCAGTTATATTGCCAATTTCCTTTCCCTAGCGGTACACTTTGAGAACTCAAGTGAATCAGAAAAGGTTTCACGATTCATAGACGGATTGAAACCGACACCCGCTTTCTATCTCAGCTCTAAAAAACCTACCAACATGCTAGAGGCAATAAAATTCGCAGAGAAATGGGCGTACACATGTGCTGAAGAAGGGGAAGTTTCACCTTGGAAGAGAAGGAAAGTTGAAACAAGATCGACATCCCCTTCCAAAGCGGATCGGCAACCTCCTCATGCCACAAATATTAACGTAGAGGGCAACAATCACCCAACTGGATTTAAAAGGCTTACAGAGGCTGAAATGATTCAATACCGAAAAAGGGGGTTATGTTTCAACTGTGGTGGACATGGACATACCTTCTTCCAATGCTCTCAAAGGTTCTTAAAGCCGAAGAGACTGCTTCAACATTCAAGGCGTGTTTCTCTAATTAGAGGCTTCCACTCTACAAATTTCGGTCTTCAGGCCCAAGTCTATTACAGTTCAGAATTGTAAATATGAATAAACGCGAGAGACACTCCCTGACATTTGGTTTGGTCTGTGATTCCCGAAAGCACCATTTGTTTGTGCTGATCAATTCACAAATTCCCGGACCCATCCAGTGATTGTATTACTGGATAATTTTTCAACTGAGCCAACTTTCCAAACGACCTTAACGAAGCTCCAGTAACCGACGAAAAGATATGACATCAATAGGTCAATAACGTGCGACACGGATAGGGCACACTCTTATGTGACTAAACCAAACACAGAACATCCAATTAACTATGTAAATGTCTTGAGATTGATGTTGACATACTAAATCATCATAAGTGTAATATAACAAACCTTTTACCAGTTTCTGTCAGATTCGTTTCAGGCATTGAAAAGTTAATTCACAATTATAATTATGTTGACATTCAATTCTTTCACTAAGCACCAAAAGAGCCTCCAAAACTTGAGCAATACATATAAGTTGAAGATGGATATGACCCTCCGATCATATATAAGTTAAAGACGAAAATGAAGGCCACAAAAGCTCATAGATGAATCAAAAGTACAAACACCAGCCCACAGATTCAATAAAACCTAGATAATAATTACAAAATTCAAAGAAAGTTTACGAAGAAACACTTACTTTCTGGGAGCCCTTGACCAATAAGCCGAGCCTTGCGTCCAGATTCTGCTAAAGCTGCTGTCAGGTCCTTCACTGTAGTTGTGCCCAAAACTCTAACTACTTGGTTTTCAAGATTGATGTCCACGGACTTCACACCTGAACTCGAGACGGTTATACGACTTGCATGAGTTTCAATCCTCAAGTTCCTTGAACAATGAGATCGTAGATTACTGGCTGCCTCAAGCATCGCATGAACCACGTAATTTCACGCTACCGTGTTCAGAATAGATAGAAAGCTTCAATTAATATATTCTAAAACAAGAACAATGAATACAGCCATGCACGTTACCAGTAAGGGGCTCTAATTTGGTGCGCACTGACTTGACGCACCCGTCGCACTCCATGTCCACCATAAACTCTGTCTGTGGATTGAAAATAAACTCCATGGTCAGTGGAACCAAAATCCGAATCAAAGAAGATACACCCAAGAATAGAAACTAGTATGATCAGGAACGCTTTTGCGATTGCCTGAAAGAGTTTCCTCTGAATATTGAAAGAGAGGATGACATAACAAAATAGCGCGAAAAAGTAGGGAAACTGAAACAACTTTGGGCATCTTCAGGCACTGAGCACTCTTATTGCTGTCTGATGAGTGAGATCTTTAATCAATGAACCATATTGTGACTGCTTCGGATTCATATGACCACCAAATCAAAATGGGCAAATCCTGAGACCGCCGAGAGCGTTACAATAGGGAGGCTTAGTGCGCGAGTTTCCAGCACACATAATTCTGAGATTCAAGAGAAGAATGTTGTTCGACTCTAACCATTAATTCAGGTAGTTGCACCTCAGCTCCTGCCCCCTTCATGCCCTGCCACCCCCAACCAAAATGAACAAGCAAGAACTACTTTCTTAGAGAAATATCAGGAGAAGGCATTGTAGTGCAATATGATGCCTCTTACAAAAGTTCCTGAGTTTCAAACCTAGATCCTGTCCACGCATTTGTCAACTTTCGCTCAAGCTACATCAAGGACAATCCTTCTTAAACCTTCTGATTCGCGGATTACAATTCCAGCTACAATGATAACGTGCCCCTGTTGTTTTGTTTGGAATTGAGAAGGAGCGCCAGCAGGAAAAAAACAAATTGAGGAATGAACCTGTCCTGGAGCCATTTGAGAGACTTCCGATGACGCTGTCGCCGCAACGGCTACCATCGCCGCTCCAGTTGCCAGGGGATACGCCAGCAGTGGACCTTGCAACAACTGCACGGATCCTAAGAAGCGATTCCTAAAGACGCGCGCACTCTGCTTTGGCAACACAGTCGTCCGCAATGAAGAGGACCTAGCATGGAACACAAGACTATTATTAAAATTTTGCACTCCTTTCATCCACTGCTATCGTTTAATTTCTGCAACGCCTTTGATAGACGTAGGAACATTCTTCAGTCTGCACAATCACTGTAGAGTTTTAAGATTGTACTAAACCTTAGGGTTTGTGTTCATATTCGCAGGGTTTGTAATAACCACAACTAGTGGAGCAAACCTGCATTAAATATATCAAAATCCGCGAGAAAAACACCCTAGTTAATTGCTGATGTCCACGAGCGGTCTGCACTCTCCTAGACGAAGCCCCGGTCAGTGTTAATGCACCTCAGCATTGCTTGATAACTTCAAGCCAGAGTATCTAGCAAAACTGGGGGTTTGACTACACGACTGTTCAATTTAAACATGAAATTCCCAAATCACAATCCATACCAGGCAAAATATCTCCGTCTAGGTAGATTGTGCCCTCACGAGTGGAATTTGAAAAACCATGAATGAGCTCATAGGTTTGATATAACTCTCTAAACCTCGAATCGTTAAAGGAAGGCGGAGAGATCATGAACACTGAAAAAGAAAATGACAAAAAACGAGGACTGCTCACAAAACTCGTATCTTAAATATTAGCCTGGAGTCCTGGACACAGGAGAATTCCCAGTACCTACGATAGGAATTGAAGGCTTTTATCGAAGGCACGACAGCTGAAGCTGCCACCGCTACAACAGGAAGAAGAGCCGGCAACCCTATCGCACGCGGAGGTGCCATGTAATCCTCTGCTTTAACTAGAAATGTAACACTACAACCACGAACCCGTTTCTCGAATGCGTCGGCGTCAAAAACGACTCCAGCGAGTATCCAGTGCTACTTCAAGATAAACCGGTCAGCTGGTATATGAAGGGATTGAAAAAAAGATGCCAGCTCCACGAAATTATGAAACTCGACAGACAAACAAAACTAATTCTGCTCACAACTTATGTATTTAGAAACTAATTGTAATGCTGTCGCTCGACTAGCAAAAAGTTTTGGAAGTCGGAGATATTCGTGGAATGGACAAACTTATCATTATCGACGTGATGTATGTTAAATGTGAGTTTCTACAGATGAATACAATTCGGCAATTCTTCCCAAAGAACTTAGTGGAACCTTGAGGGCATGGTTATGCTGTAAAGAACTTCCCCGAATGCCTTTCCTCAGACACGTGTGCCCTACGAGTCAGAGACTCGAATGAATTCTTCAATTTTTTAAATACTGAAATGAGTTGCGATTACACGAGCCTCCGACGGAATGCTCGGAAGGTGAACGATAAAGACGGTACTCGATAGTTTTGCGATGCTTCCGCCACAGCCATCTGTTAAACTCAAATTCGACATATGTCTGTTATGCTTTCATTTCTTCCTAGTTTGAACCTCTCTCATTGGCATTCTTAAACCCTTGCGCGTTCTGTACTCTAAATGAAAACGACGCGATAAAGCCGTCTACAATCCTTGATTCGATGCAGTGGATAGAAGCGATACACATGGTGAGGATGTTTTATAAACACCAGAACAGCATCACCACTATTCAATGTTGCATTATCAACAAGCGGAGGTATACCTCAACGAAACATTCAACGCCTCTCACGCTCTAAGAAAACCACCGCAGAACTCAATGCATGAACAAAGTCACACAACACGGAACTTCCAGATACACTAAACTTCGAGTGGCATGTCTGATGCTCGCAAGTTCTTTCACGCTCATCAAGAAACTTTGCTTCTCAAAACAGGTCTACGACAATTTGTGCAACAAAGTGCAGTGAACTAGAATATCAGTAATCTTAGCCATCAAATTCCGCAAGTTTCAAGATATAACCGACCTTGTGTGCACACAGCTTCTATGTCCCTCCCGAAATATGCAAAGCGTTGAAAGAAGGCTTCAAATCAACTTAAACAGAAATGTTTGATAAACGCTAGCTTCAGTTCACTCCACAACCTATAGGAGGAAGTAGCAACGTGACACAAGCCAAGCAAAATCTTATAACAAAGGCTATTTCTCTCTTAAAACTATTCACAAGGCTTGACTTAACAAGAATGTCAAGTTAAGGACAATTACCTTATATATTTTTTAATTTTTTTGTTTCTAGTTTATTTGTTTATTTCGATTTAAAAATTTAAATAGTAGACATTTAGATGACTTCATTCAAAAGATGTTTTAGAAAGTTAATACAAAAAAAATTACATGTTGGAATATATTGAATAGCTTAACAAAAGAAATTATACCATATTTGTATAGTTCTTATTAAAAACTTTATTATAGTGTGTTTTTTTTTTTTTTTTTTTTTTTTTGTTTTTTGGTGTGTGTGTGTCTTAAAATTTAAATATAGCTAAATTAATTTAGAGTTAAATTTTAGGATAAAAAAGAATTAAAAGGAATAGAAACAATAATTTAAAACGTTTAAAATATAAGGACTTTTCAACATATTTTCTTATATTAATGTGAAATAATAGAAGAAAAAGAATAGTATAATAAAAAATTAAAAACATCATGTTATTTAAATACAATGCACTTGATTAACTTATTCCTAAAAAATAACACACAATCATAATTAAATTCAATATCTATAAACTTTATTTTAAAAAAATATGTTATTATTAACAATTATAATATTTATACTATGTTACAAGTCTCTAGATTATATAGTTTTGTATTGTAAAAAAAGTTCAATATGTTAAACACTTTTGTATTTTTTTTTTTAAATATTATATATATATATATATATATATATATATATATTTGGCAGTTAGAAGAAGCTAGACACAACAATAGATTAAATCTATTTCTATATGGCAAATCTAGTAACAACTTGATTTCTTTTAGGTCAAAATTTTATCTCAAAATCTAAGTAATTACTAGTTCTATTAAAATTCTAATTAGAACAAAGGAACAATCAAGTTAATACTTAAATGAATGAAAAAAATATAAATATGTATATATAATTTTTTATTAAAAATAAATCTATTAAATAATACAATTTGATAGGTACTTTAAAATCCCATTGATAACTTATTAGCTACTCTATAATTGAATTTTATTTTAATATAATTTCAACTCTTTGTAATTTTGGATATTTTAGATTAATGAAAAGAATAAATATCAGAGCATTATAACACACAAAGAGTAAAAAGGTTTAAATGATAATAAAAAAAATATTGTTCATAATCTCTACCTTGGCCTACAATTTAATTGTGATGCTGTAGAACCACATTGTCAAAAATGAAGATGGATGAAAACAACAAATAAAAGATTTCTAAAGTAGTGATTAGCAAAGCTTTGGCATGATTTACAAACTATGTATATATAAATATAAATAAATATTAAATTTTTAGAGGATTAATCTTATTCAGAAAGCATTAATGATGTAACAAAATTTCTTAAAATACAATTGCTAACCTCTTTCTAACAAAGACATTTCCAATTTATTTGTTCTTAATTGATTATAAATAACAACAATAAGGCGGATTGATTCATAATATATGCATATATATATATATATATATATATAGAGAGAGAGAGAGAGAGAGAATATTTTTGTTTTGACATCAGAAAAGTGTACTCAAGGGTCCCACTTGCCGTCTTAATTCATTGAATCTTTTGAGGGCGTAAGTACGATTGGTATAAATAAAGTAATTAAACTGTAATGTACTAGTATATAATACATTCTAATTTTCTATTTTAATTATTTCAAAAAAGTCAAATATCCAAAAAAATAAAAAATTATTCATTTCTTTAATAAATCCATTCCATTCCAATTCATTATATTATATTTATTTATTTACTTTTTCAATATAGATATTTTTGCAATGTAAAACAAACCATAACCAAGCGTTCGAATTCCCATCCTAGTTCGTAGTGGGTTTCTCCAAAACACACACACTATGAGCGAACCGGAAAGGAAACCCCTTTTGATGAAAGAAAGAGAACAAAACATACACTCACACACAGAGGCATTAATAATTCCTTCAAAGGAAGTGGGGTTTTATTTCCACAGCCATTTTAGAGTCTGTTTCTACAGGTTTCCTATTGCTTGCTTGCTTGTTTGCTGTCCCCTACTTCCCAAATGAGAAGGATCTCACAGATGGGTCCTCTCATTTTTGTATACTAAATTCAAGCAATCGAAGTGTAGTCACAGAATTGCAGGGGATCAGTGCTCCAGGTTGCTGCAAAATCCTTGTATCTTGGCCTGTTTCCTAGAAAAATAGTGTCATTCCATGGATACATGAAGCTCACGTAGCTCCTGCTATTTTCTTCCACTATCGTTTGATTGCGCTGCTAGATTGGAAGCAAGGAATGCATTGTGCCATACTTATTTGATTTTGGTGTGATTTCTGGCAAAAAAAACAGGGTGGGTGGAGTTCCCGTTGTAGTGTGGGTTTTGGAGCGATGGCAGGCTCCGGAGGGGATGAGGAAGATGATGTTGCCGCACGGCGGGCTCGTGCTTTGTACACCGGCGTTGTGATGTCCATCACGCCGCTTTTGCACCTCAGCTTGCAGTTTCGCCGTTTGCAAGGCCACAGCCAGTACTGCATGTGGCTTGAGCGATTGGGCTACCCGTCTCGAAAGCGTCCGTCGGGGCTGCTGATCTGGTTTCACGCCGTCTCTGTGGGTACGTGTGTTGCGACGGAATTCTTCTTTGCGCATGTGTTGTTGGTGTTGTACTCGGCATCTGGGTACGAGACAAGGTTTTAACCTATGGAAACTTGAACCCTAAACCCTGAACTCTGATGACGGGATTTGGTCTATTTCGTTCGATTTTTGTGCTTCAATTACGGGTCTGGCTCTCTTCTTCTGTGATCGTAATGTGCAAACTCTTGCAAAATTTGCGTAATGGAAGCGGTTGCACGGGAAGTGGCTTAGGGGACGCGTTGATGTGTTTAATGCTTCCTACAGCATCCTCGATTGACCTTAGAAATGTATTTCTGGTATTGGTTTTGGTTGGTATAGGTATGTGCTTCAGAAGAGAAACAGCATATAAGCTTTACATGCCGCAGCAACTGTAACGAGACTGTGTCCTTCTTGAGATTGTCAATGTGTATTGGTGATGCACTTGAAGGGGTATTAACGAATCTTCATAGAGACATTTTGAGGAAATGCCTAAATCGTAGTGATGCTACTTGATCGCCGGCCCTTTCTATCCGTAAACTTGTCTTCGAGTGGAGTGTTTAATAATCTACTCCTATGAATTGCAGGAGAAGGGATATCGGCGATCCCCGTTATTTTGCACTGTCGAGACGCTCGTCCGTCCATCACAATACTAATGACCACCTCTACTGCTGCAGCTCAGTAAGTTTAACATTACAATACATTCTACGCAGCTTTTGAAAGTGCCTATCTTTCTTTCTGCATAAAATTTTGTAATTTGTCTATGTATGTTGCAGGAGCGTGAATCTGTGATGAGCTCAGTAATAAACGTGTTAAACTTCTCCTTGTGGTGTGTAAAGTTTCTTACAATTTTTGCTCACAGCTCGGTCTTGGAGCAGCGTCTTCCACCGGAAGTGATTTTACAGGTGAGTTTAAAGCTAAGCGATCTTAAGTATTTATGCTGGAAAAATTATTGGTGTTGTGATTGTTGCTTGGAGTTCTGCGCTGTGGATCCGACCGAGGATGTCGTTGATTTGCTACATGGTTGTGGATAGTACGGCAATGTCACCATTCTCATCAACATTTGAGAGTCGGAAAGCATAATTGTATTTTTGAATTATGACCATCGCACTCGTTCATGTTTTTTGAGCAGTTTGCACCAGTGGATACACCGACTGCTGTAGAAAGATTCTTGCTTCACTGGGCTCCCCAAGCAGCTATTTTCATGGAGAGTGAATTGTGGCCAACTCTCATCCTTCAATCTGCTGTTAAGGGTGTAAGTATTCATCATTCTTTCAATTCTGCATGCAATGTCAATCTTATGATAGACATCGCTTGACTAATTTGTAGTACCAGAAACTGTATTACATCCTTGTGGTTGGTTTGATGACCTTAGTATGATGAAGACAATATTCTCGGATGTAGTTTATTCTTATTTTTCAACTAATTACAAGCACTCGTGATTTTTAATCAGGAGAAAATCGTGCTTGTTTTGTTGTTTATTACTAGTCATCTAATTTCTAGCGCAATCTAATTCTGCAGATTCCTTTGGCCATCCTCAACGCACGTATGTCATTAAAGTCATTTGAGCGATGGTCAGCATCACCTATGAAACCTCTTGTTGCATCCATGCTCTCACGGTTCTCACTCATAGCCCCGCTGGTACTTTCCTTTTCAGCTACATGAGTACCTTACGAGACCAAATCTGCGATTATTGCAATTTACCATTGCTGTCAACTAAAATTTGCTATATTAGAAGATGTACTCACGGAACTACCTATAATTTCGCTCTTTGTAATGGAACTGAAATATCTTCATATTGTTGGAGATTAATATAATCGCTTTATATGATAGTTGAATTACACGATTTCATGTGTTCCGAAGGTTATATTTAGTACTGTCACTGACCTTCTTTTTCCTATCTAGAGCAACAAAGAGGCTGTTCGCTACCAGATTTTGGGAGCAGCTCCTTCTGTCATTCACTTTCTGGGGAACCTGAAGTACGGTGAGTTGTTTGTACTATGCTTGTTCGTCCCTAATTAGAACCGTGACTGTCTTTCTGGAATGTAAATGTCTTTTTGAATTGTGTCTTCTGAGGTAAAGCTTGCTTTTCGCAGTGAACTTGGGGTTGCTTGCTGTTGATCTGATCTAGTTGCTTTGGATTTGCAGCCTGTGCACTGGGGGATTCTAAGAAGGAACGTAGCGTTGGAATGACAGACATTGAGGCGCAACTTGTTGATCGTAAAGTTTGGCTCGCTGCGTCTACTCACGCAGAAGAAGAAGAAGGTATGCACGATTATCCTACTCCACAGAAAAATGTTAATTTACTCGAAATCATGTGTAATGGCACTTTCCTCTTCCTTCTTATACGATGCTCTTGGACATTGTAGAGGCTAATTTTATTTCATTTTAGATTTAATCACCTTCCAAGTGTTAAGCGTCAAGTCCACTGTTTCAGATCCACTCGAGGTTCATAAAATTACCTTTAGACGCACTGTTGATTGTTATAATGAGAACGTGAAAGAGTTTGTGGGATACTCGCAGCAATAATCAGAATCCACAAAGAGCTGAATAAGTCGGTTTCTCATCTGCTGACCATTATTGCCCCGAGGCAGCCTAGTCGTGGACAACACATAATGATTGTAAGTACATCTTCTTTGGTTTGTGGGACCAATGCTTTCTGTGTATACTTGATAAGAGGCCTCGTTTAATTAGTAACAATAAATGCAGCTGATCTCCAAAGCGGTGTCTCTGAATGGCCAGAGCAGAAATTGCAGCGACAAGGGTTCAATGTTGCAGTGCGTTCTGATGGGCAGAGAATATCGGGAAGTACCGATGTGTATCTGGTAGATATATTAGGTTTGTTTCTAAACAATCTTCACATCAAGATAGAGGTTGACACGACGCGTTCCTGTTTTTGTCGATTATTTGATGTACTGGCTGTATTGTGTATTGAAAGCAGTACTATCTTCTCGTGCGATGTTAACTTATTTCTTCTTGGAACGTGACATCAGGTGAACTCAATCATTTTTATGCAATTGTCCCAATCGCATTTGTGGGAGGCTCTCTTTTTCAAGGTTTAGCAGGCCACAATATTGCTGAAGCTGCCGCTGCAGGGTGTATTGTTCTGACAGGTACAGATTCAGATGATAGTGCAAATGCCTCACAAGATTACTTGAGCGATCTCATTTAACTCATCGAACAGTTCACCACCTCGACTATCTTGTCATAGCAACTTTTCTGGTACGGCACTGAATAGGTGGCTGAATGAAACATAAATGGTCGAATTATAGAAAAGAAGAAACTTTCGCTGATGCTGATCGCACCTAAATGTTTTGCAGGGCATCATGTTGGCCACTTTCAGGAGATGGTGTGGGAGATGCAGAAAATGTCACCCTTCTCTGTGATACAAGTAAGTGTATACTGGACTTCATTCTGGAGATTGTCGGTAAGCGTGATTGAACAGGTAGGCTTCCTGCTGTTCTTCCACGATATTGGTAACATGCATAACGAGTGCTGCAATTGTCTGCTCAGGTTAATGAGGACGGTTTAGTGAATACTCTCCGCAAATTTCTCACAGACGAGGCCTGTCTAGCTGAGAGGAGGGTGGCTGCAGAGCGTGCAATTAGTGCTGGAGCTAGTGGCGTTGTCACTCGAGTGTGGGAATCACTAGAATCGTATATACTTAAGAAAGCACTTGTCTAAGAAACTTATTCCTCACTTCAGTTTTAGTTTTTTTTTACCCATTATATCTTTTGTCCCGTATCTTTATCATCAAATTTCCTGTATTTTAGATGCAAATGAAACTCTCTGGGTCGACAAACTTGCCTTGCATGATTTTTGCAGAGAGGTGGTGTAAATTTTTGCAGAGAGTATGGCATATAGTTGTACCTTCTGATCCACATCCTCCCAACGTGTCAAAGGGGTAAATTAGTTAACAATTCTGGGAACTCCTAAGGTGAATGTATGTATATATATATATATATATATATAAATGTTCTACCCTTCCTTGAGTATTGAAAATGACTCAAAAAGCATGTAAATTACCATTTATGATCAACGAGGATGTAAACCCGCTGTATGTATCAGATAAAAAAGGTGCGGTGGGTCGTCTTCTCACCTTGTCACAATTTTCTTGTTGACTATTGCACCATCTAAAAGCCAAAAACGTCTTCATATACACCCCTAAATTTAGTCTTTCTCAAGGTATTCTCAAGACTGGATTTATCATCAATATCAACAAGCAGGAGGTGAAGTACCACATCAGATGCATTTCAACACATAAAATAAATTTGGAGATGTGAAGGTGGTTTGGTGATATCATATTATGCATGTACAATACGACCTTTCATGACTTAAATTGAAATGCACAGTCAAAAGATTTTTTCTACACATTGATTCATGTTTGTGAAAACGAACTTTCATGACTTAAATTGAAATGCAATCACAAGATTTTTTCTACACATTGACTCATGTTTGTGAAAACTTGATGAGTGCTTTGATAATTTCAATTCAATCATTTTAGTACTAATGGATTTGTGCATGAGATAAGATGTTTTCAAATTAAAATGTTGACCCCCGATCTTTTTTTAAAAATAAAGTAAGATAGACATTATTGCAAATGGGTTATGAAAATACAAAATTGCACTAATGCAAATCAATTCAACTCAATGCAAATCATGTTTTGATTCGAAAACCATGGGACAATGAACTTGAAGATGAGTAATAAAACGACATTGCTTGTACAACTACATTTTGTTTTTCAAATGGTTTTATATCAACAAACACTCTAGAGGTATACGAGAGAAGCAACTTCTTTGATTACAAAATGAAACCAGAACACTCTTTTAAACAAATTTCACAATTAAAAATACAATCAAACACTGTGGACTTTATGTCAGTTGTTCTTCAATTTCAATGGAATTTAGATCAACGAGCTCAATATTCGTGCTTGTAAGCACACCCATAATCAGGAGTAAAAAGTTTAAGCAATGAAATATGGTGCAGTGGGTCGCTCAGCTTTCGTTAAATTTTTTAAAGTAGAATGGACTTAGAAGCAGCCCTGAAGCTTTACCTTTAAATGGTAACATGTACATGGTTGTCTATTTATTATGGCCTCAAAGCAAAACCCAAGAGCTGGTTTCTTATTTTAATATATGCGGTATTAAATAAGAAACTACATCCATGTTCAAGGAATTCAACAACATTTACTCGTTGTCATCCACCCTACCATGCTAGAACTCCTAATGAAACAATCGGATTGTGGTTGACTCACTCGTGTGTTCAGAATACTGCCCAAAGTTCATAACTAATGTACAAGAAGATTGAACGTGTTGGAAGTAATATAGAATGGTGGGGTCAAATACATCGTTGAGAACTAGACTATGATCTTAATGTAACAACTACTAATGCAGCTCTCAATATCCCATATCAGCTCACCAGTCACGATTAATAGAATTAGATTACGTTAACAAAATATGTGAATCGTCTGTAGAAGCTCAATTCCATATGGCGTTCATCTTACTTTCATCCAACTAAATCCTAGATTCTTCTTAACCTAACCGCCACTTTAAATCCTAGCCACTACCTATAACCCTAGCCGCCACCTTGGTAACTTTCTTTTATCTTTTTGCTGCCCTTTGACCATTAGTAACTTATCTAATATAATAACTTTTACCTTCTAATTTATCCTCTATTTATTTTAATACTCATACTTTGCTATTGGTCAAAGGCTAATAAACCTAATCCCTTTGTCAATTTGTAATATCTATCTTTCACCAATGCTTTTGTGAGCAAATCAGCAAGCATGTCTTCCGTTGCACAATACTTCATATCAATTACTTCCATCTCAATCTTCTCCCATATGAAGTCATGTTGAATGTCAATGTACTTTGTCCTTGAATGATGCTTTGGATTCTTGGCAAAAGTAAGGCATCCTTGATTATCACACTTCATTGGAGTTGCTTCCAATTACACAAGTTCAATGTCTTCTAAAACTTGTCTTAGCCATATTGCCTCCATTGCACCATGACTTGCTACCATGTATTCCGCCTCTATTGTAGACCTTGCAATTGTTGGTTGTCTCTTGCAATTCCATGAAATTGCTCCCACTTCAACAAAGAATATATATCTTGTTGTTGAACTTCTATCATTTGTATTTCCAACCCAATTTTCATCACAATATCCTTGCAATGTAATACTATCAACTCCAAGGCACAATTTGAAGTTCAAAGTGCCTTTTAAGTACCTCAAGATCCTCTTAGTGGTTGACTAATGAATTGGTCAAACTTTAGATATGTGTTGACTTAAAACACTCACCATATATGCAAGATCCACCTTCGTACCAACCATTGCATACATAAGTGAGCCTACTGTTGCCTTGTATGGAACATCTTTGATTTCTTCTTCAACTTTAGCAAATTCCTCATCCATGAGCTTCATTAACTTCAAATTTGCCTCCAAAGGTGTTCCAATGGACTTGCACTCTTCCATGTTGAATCGTTTTAATACTTCTTCAATGTACTTCTTTTGGCTTAATGTAATTATTTTCTTAGCTCCATCTTTCACAAACTCTATTCCTAAGTAATAGTAGAGCTCTTCCAAATCATTCATTTCAAATTCTTTTGCTAGCTTTGCCTTCAACCAATGCATCTTTTTCAAAGTATTGGTCAAGATGATCAAATCATCAACATAAAGAATAACAATGAGCAAGAAGGATTTTGATTGCATCATATACATGGAATGATCAGCCTCTTTCCTCACAAATCCATCATTCACAAAGAAGATGTCGATATGTTGGTATCATATCCTTGATGATTGCTTGAGCCCATACAAGGATTTCTTCAACTTATGCACAAGGTATTGTTTGCCTTCTTCAAAAAATCCTTGAGGTTGATCCATGTAGATGTCTTCTTCCAATTCTCCATTCAAAAAAGCCATTTTTACATCCATTTGGTGCATCTCCAAGTCCATTGCTGCCCCAATTGCCACAATGGTTCTAATGGTGGTGAATTTGGCCACGGAAGCAAATGTCTCATTGAAATCAACACCAGCAACTTGTGAATAGCTTTTGGCAACCAATCTTATCTTATACCTCACAACATTGCCCATTGCATCCCTCTTTGTTCTAAATACCTACTTACAACCAATTGAACCTCGATTTGGTGGAAGTTGAGTCAATTCCCATGTTCCATTGTCCATGAGTGATTTGTACTCTTCTTTCATAGCATTCTACCACTTCATAGCATCCGTAGACTTCATTGCATCACATAAACTCAATAGATCAGTAAGAAATACAACATTGGCATATTCTATACGTACTTGAGGAAAAATGTGGTCCTTCCACCATTCACCACATTGTTTTCTATCTCTCAAAGGATATCTCCTTTTATTTGAAGAAGACTCAACTTGTTGCACTCTATGGTCACCTCCAACCTTCTTTTCTTTTGAAGATAGTCTTTTCTCACTCAAAGGTTCATAATTCTCATCACCATCATCATCAACATCTTCATGCTATTCATTGTTGGTCTTAGCAATTGTAGAGGCCTTCTTGTCCTCCTTCTTTGCCTCTTCATCTTCATTTCCACCTTTACAACCATCATTATCTTTGTCTTCTTTCTTCTTTATTGAATTTGAAGATAAGTCCATAAACACACCATTATTCCCACTTAGACACATCTCCAAGTACTCACAAGCACTCTTGTGCTCCAAAAACTCAATATTACGACTTTTGATGATGTTTTTAGTCTCCAAACACATGAGCCTATAAGCCTTTGTATCTTCACAATATCCAACAAACATACATTTTTTACCTTTTGCATCAAATTTTGATCTCATGCAATCTGGTATCTTTACATATGCTATGCATTCAAAGATCTTTATATAAGAAACACAAGGTTCTCTCCCACTTCAAGCTTCTTCTTGCGTCATTGATGTAAGTGCACTTGTAAGACACCTATTTCTTGTGTACACTGCATTTACCACTACTTCCATCCAAAACTCATGTTCAAAATATTGTGCATGAAGCATACTCCTTGCCATCTCCACAATGGTCCTATTTGCTCTTTCAACAACTCCATTTTGTTATTGAGTGTAAGGAGTGGAGGTTTGTCTTGCAATACCATGCATCTTCAAGAAATCATTGAATTGCTTTGACATATATTCACTTCCATTGTCCGTATGTAATACCTTCATTTTGCATTCACATTGCTTCTCCACAAGTGCCTTAAATTCCCTAAACCTTGTGAAATACTCACTCTTAACTTTAAGGATGAAAATCCAAACCTTCCTTGAAAAATCATCAATGAATGTAACAAAATATCTTGCACCTCCTATTGATGGCATCCTCATAGGTCCACAAACATCAGAATGGACAATTTTCAATAACTTGATTGCTCGTATTGCAGCTCCACTTGGAAATGAGACTCTTTGTTGTTTGGCTTCAATACAATCTTCACAAGCAAGTATCATAGCATTGTGGCTTATATGATTAAGATCTAAGCCACTTACTACGGATTGGAGCTCCTTCATGCTCTTCACATTCAAATGACCAAGGCGCCGATGCTAAATGCCAAACTTGTCTTGATCTTGAGGAAATTCAGCAAATGCCACCACTTCAACTCCATTCACCTTCTTACACTTGATGAAGTAGAGGTTGCCATCTCTAAAGTCCTTTGCAATATGATCTCCTTCCAATGTCTTCACAAAACATCCATTCTTATCAAATTATACTTTACAACCATGTGAAATAAGTTTATTCACGGAGAGGAGATTTTTCTTCATCTTTAGCATATGTAAGACGTCCTTCAATCTGATCATCTTGGTTTGGCCTTTCATAACAATCTCTATAAAAATGGAGCCCATTTCAATAGCTTGTACTATGCCATTGTCTTCTATGAGGATATTTTCTGTTGAAATCTCTTCATAAGTGTCAAATGAATACTTATATAGAGTCATGTGCTTGGTGGTACCAGAATCAATGATCCACTTGGACATAGAAGCCATAGAAGTGTCTTCACT